GGCAGATCATACTATCTACATCATATGCAATTAGCAGAAAACAGAAGTGTGGAGGGTGCTTCACTAGACCCAACACACCTGGTAGGCACCAAGACACCATTCTGCCACCAGAGTACAATGTATGTACACTGATGTACACAGATCACAGTGTCCTTTGTTATACCAGCAAACTTGATTTCCAACAGAGGCACTTTGCACCAGACCTCCAACAAAAAGAGGACTCAGACCAAACCATTTGTAAAAGGGCAAGGTTATAAAAAGTACTGCAAAGTAACACAACCAGAATGCCCAGTGTTACTGACCCCCTTTAATACCACAAAGTGGTGAGAATACTCTTAGAAAACCTGCAGTCCCTGGTTGCACCTCTCCAACCTGAGAGCCTAAGTACCAACAAGAGTTTGAATTCCAAAAGAGGTGATCTGTGGAAAGATTTTTTTTTTTTTTTTTGGATCAAATGTATCTTTAAGACAAAGATATGGTATTTTCAGTGGAAAAGTAACAGACAAAATAAACATAAAATGCAAAAGGAAAACCAACCCCATTCTAGCCAATATTTGATGTCCAAACATTTCAAAGCAGGTGTCTTTTCCATTACTTGACAGAACTCTTGCTTTCATGTTCGCTTGCCCAAGTTTTGCCATGCTTCACTCGCTTACTGAATGAAGGCCTATGTAATAAATTCACAGGGCATTCCATTACCTTTTTTCTCAAGCAACAAAAAATTACTTGAAGCAACAAAAAAATAACTAGTGTACATTATCAGAACAGAAGTTAATATGGTACTTGCTTCTGAAGAGAATAAATAATTAGTTCTGACTTTGTTTTAAAATTCCACATTGAACTCAATTTTAACTTTCTAAAACTAGGATTATACAAATTTGATTTTAATACTAATAAATTTTGATTTGAACAGAACTTGGTATGTCGAGATTCAGAAACAAATATTTCCATTTTATAAACTGAAAGGGGTGGGGGAGTAAACAGCCAATCCCATGTACAATTCCATTTCTTCTTACTTATGATTTGGTATTTGTCTTGAACCTTAGTGAGGGCTATTCATGTTCAGCTGATGACATGGAAGCAGGAAAGACAAGGATCCAAGCAGATGTTACTATTCCTCTGAGAGTCATACATATTATTCCCTCATGAGATCACCTTAAGGGTAGCTACCACTCCTACACAGCATAAAACATCCTAGCCTCAATCCCTGATTCCAAAATGTGCTGTTATGACCCCGCCCACACATTGTAGCTCATATGCAACCAAACAGCCCAATTACAGCTCTTCACTAGCTGTACAAACACCAGAAGGTTAAATAGCAATAAATTGAGGAAGCAATAAAAATATGTGAGTTCAAAAGCAGCACAACATAAAAATCCTTAGCCCTTTCCTAATATAAGAGCACAAAATAAGACTTTTAGTCATTACCAAGAATTCTTTAATAAATGTGCTTAAATAGATTACAACTATTATTTCAGTATTCTCTTTTGCCACCCACTGAGTTTTGACTACTTTTATGTAAATGACAATGGTCACTAAAAATATACAGTGAAATCTGTGACAGCCAGAACTCTACAAGACTGCCTTGTTTTTCTGGGTCTCACAAATTTTCTGCCTTTGACAGGGTGCAGTCTTACCATTTTCCCATTGCTTGTTTTAGTGGATAATATTTGAGTTTTCTGCCTTACACACATTCTGGCTTTCACAGGTTTTTCTGTATATATTCATATATATATATATATATATATATATACACACACACACACACACATATATATACACACACACATATATATATACACACACACGCATATATATATATTCCTATATATACAGTAAGAAGTAAAGTAATGACTATCTAAGAAGCAATGAATAAAAGTGACAAAAGACTGAGATGGTGAAAAGATAAGGAAATCTAGCATAAGCCTTTCAGTTGAGACTTAATTGCTATTTGACATAATTACACTATTTAACACCCAACTTAACCTAGAGAAACAAGTCTCAATTCACAGAAGCTCACTGAGACTCTACATTTTCAGCATGGCAGGTGATATCAGTTGGAAGTTATTTTCACTCATTAAAAATGTCACCTACATGAGGTACATCCAGCTCCCAC